CACAAGTTTTACAAATTACTATAAAAGAGATTGATATTCTAATAATTTTAAATCTTTAATTATTCTAAAATTCAAGGTTGTTATTCTGAAAATTAGATTCATTTCAAAATATTTAAAAATGTAGTGGTTCTTTCTAACACTATATAGTATAGTACAGTATTTGATTAGAAGGTTTTTATATGCTGTTCTCTGTGCTAAAGTAATTGTTATTTTCTTAGTAAGCTGATCTAAAAAAAATAGAACTTCTTCTCTTTTATCTTGCTATTGTAGCTATTATATATTACAATATGCTACTTGAAATTGAGAATAAAGATTTAGAATTAGATCAAAAGTAAATATACTTAATTCTATACTCTGATCTTAAATGTTAATTAAGTTTAATAAGACATCTTGAAGATTATTAATCATTATATTAATATTTTGTTTAGATTGTACTTGGTCATACTCTTTTTATAAATTTCTTTAATGTTCTTAAGTTTTATTATGTTATATTTGTTGGTTCATGATATTTCTTAATAAAGAAAAGACTTACAGATGTAGCAATTACCTTTTTTGATATAGTTCACAGCTTATATACCTTTATAAATAGTATGTTATATATGAAATATAAACCTTTTTATTTTGGTTATAATTTTCTAGTATATTATTAATCTAAAGCAGTATTGAATATTAAAACCTTATTTTTAATTTAGATAGTATTACTTTTAGCTAATTTCTTATTAAATTTTTTTCTTTGTTTTAATTATCCCTTTTTAATTCATTAATTAGCAATTAATTTCTTTTCAATTAATTTATTTTTTAGTCTAAATAATTATTCTAACAAGCTTTTTTTCAAAATCTCAAATAATTTTTGATAGAAAAATCTGGAATGTTTGCTATAAATCAAATAAAATAAATTGATTTTTATGATAGCCTGTTTTATAAGCAAACAATGTAGATAGTATTTACAAATTCTATTTTTGTTCTTAAGTTATCAATTTTGCTAACAATTTATACAACATATAGTTGAACCATTCCCTCAAGCTATTTGTCTATAAATAGTAAAGTATAGAAAACAAATAGTTTATTTAGAATTTTTCTAGCAAATACTCAATTATCTAATTTTTAAAATATATATCTATCAGACAATTAAAAGTTGTATATGTGGCTAATCATACTTTTATTTGTAAAAACTAGAGAGTTTAAATAGATAATCTTTTAGTTAGATTGCAGGTATAGTAACTAGTATAGAACCTAGATAAACTACTTAAAATAGATAACCAAAAGTTGTACATATTGCTAGTTGTAATTTTGTTATATTCAAAACTTAACTTCTAATAAAAAAGTTATAACTAGAAAGATTACTTTTAATATCAAAAAATATATATATATATCTATCAGACAGAATTAATTTTAAACAGCCATAATGATATATAATATCTTTGTAGATAAAATTTGAAACTTGTAAGACATAGTCTATATAATAGATTTTGCTTTAAGCTATTTGTTGTATAGTTGATAATAGAGCTCCAATCTGAATCAATCCATTATCTATTTATCCAATAAGCTATATCCGGATATCCATTTTTTTTAATTCAAATATCTGAATAGATTAACCAAATAATTCGATCAAAATCACATGATTTTGGTACTATTCAATTCGTCTCGTCAAGACAAATCAAATAGTACCAAAATCATATAATTCTGATTGATAATTTATAAAATAATTAATTTTTTGACAAGTTATTTTTTTTTGTCAATTTTCATCTAGACTTAACTTCGATATTTCAAAATATAATTAAGCAAGTACTAACTTCAAATACAATAGTGTTACTGTTTACTTGGAGAGCTCTATGCTTCAATAGGCCATCTAAACTCAAAGTGGTTGACAATAAGTAGATATTATATTAGGTAACTTGAATTGGCGCTTGAATCATTGTTTAAAGAAAGTATTTTATATTGTATTAAACTAGTATATTATATATTAGTTCTAGCGAGAAATTGCTTGGTGCTTATTTGTGATCTTACAAATTTATTACCATGACAAGGTTATTTCAACCAGTTCTACAGGCTATTTCTTAAACCGTTTTGCAAATTTTTGATCAAAATTGTTATTGCTAGAACAACTTATAAAAATTATAATATGTAACCTCATATAATATTATTACTGGCCATTCTATTTGCATAGATTTTTTAACTAATACTACTTTTAATTATTTTTAATAACGCTTTGTCTTTATTTTCTCTTTAGTTTGGTGAAATAACCCTGCAAAAGTCATGTACGTATATTACTTGATTATGAGATGCTACTACAAACCAAGCATAATTACCCAAATTAGTTACATATGGAGTTTTAATCATTTACCTATTACCGATTTGATAGATATAGTTAATGTAATGTGACTAATTATTATTTTTAATAACATTTTCATTGACATATAGAATTTTTTTGCAAAAAATTCTTCTGCAAATCTAAAATGGAAATTAATATCTTATATTGTCAACAAAAGTAGATAATGCTTTTGAAAATAACAATAAAACATTTATTTTATATTTTAAAAAGCAAACAATAAATAAATTAACAAGAAATACAAAAATATTGTGGAGCCAGAAGTGTTTGAAAGTATTGTTTATAAAAAATTCATAGAAGGTGAAAATAAAAATAATAGACAAATGAATCTAGAAATATTAATAAGGTATATTATAAATCATCTGCTGGCTTATTTTATATAAATAAAATATTTGTTATATTTTATATAGACCTTTTACTTAATAAGTCTCGTGAACTTTCGAATCAAAAAAAAATACTTCAAAAAATAATAGAAGATATAAAAAATTTGGAGCAAGCAAAAAACAGGGAGTGGAAATACTATAATAAGAATATCTTTATTAACAATAAATTAAAATAATTATGAAATATGAACTATAGTTAATGATTCGAATAGTGAGTTTATTATTATTATTATTATTTTTAATGTCTATTTAAAATTCCCAATATCTTACAAATTCTAATCCAGGAAGAAATTAATCATAATAGTTTGTAAGGGTATTTAATAACAAATAAACGTACAGTACTGGTACATACAAAAAATCTATAAAATCTAAATTTGTATTAAATCTTGTGAAATGATAATATACTAATATATACTGTATATATATACTGTACATACCAGACTATGCTTAAGATGGATAAATCCTATCCAAGTATTTTTCATTTTTTTTTAGAAACATTAATCTTTTAAATAATATAGAACTTATACAAGTCCTCTTTGCAGTTATTAAATTTTCAGCATCCAAGAAAAGCCTTTTACTAGCTGTTGAAGATGCAAAAACAGATAAATACTGTTTTGCTAGTCTACTTATAACCAGAAATTTATTACGCTGCTCATGTCACCACATGAAAGGATCACACTTTATATTAATTTCTTCAAGCTTTAAATAGTCAGAAATCTCCTCAACCGTAACTGGTATATACTTTTTAAAACTGGAAAGAATGCTACTTTTAGTATTTTTTTTTACAGTTGATTTAACCTCCATTCTAATATTTTTTTTCTCTTTATCTATATTATTCTTTATTTTATTATACTCCTTACGAAGTAAATTTTCAGCAGCAAATCATTTATCAAATAAGATGAAGCATAGATTTTTGTACCTGAGATCCAAAAGACTAGATAAAAGTGAACTTGGTGATATTAAATTAGGCTAATAATGGTTCATTGTATTATACAAATTACTTTTAATTTTATCAATATCTATACTAATTGGTGTATAAACCTCTTTATCCTCTTCTTCATCACTTGTATCTTCATCAAACAAGTTTTGAAAGTTATCATCATCATCGTTATCAATGTTTGCTATATTATTATTATTAGAGATTGATAACTAACAATTTTTTTTAAGCTTACTTAAAATAAAAACCATTATCGAATAGATGTAATAATTACTTCTATCTAAGTAATTAGTGGCTTCGGCGAATGGTTCAAGAATCTCTACTAGATTATTTATTGTATCCCACTTATCATCAAGAAGTATTATTTTTTTAAAATATTTAAAATCTTTCTTGATATCGGGATCAGACTTGGTTGAAAGTAAGTTTACAAGAAGGTTAATATAATTTTTTAATTTAAGAAGCCGATTCTAGACGAGGTAAGAAGAATTTCAACATGTTGGGCAATCAGCTATTGTATGCAAGTATTCAGAAATTTTTGAAATGCCCTAATAAATTAGAATATATATGTTAAAAAATTATTATTATTATTATTATTATTATTATTTTAAGTGCTATAATAATAGCACTTATAAATAAATAAATATTATATCTTACCTCTAAATTATTATTATTATTATTTTTATTTTCATTTTCATTTTCATTTTCATTTTTATTTACATTTTGAACTTCAGGAAATTTCCTTTGAACTTCTTCAAGTCTTTCGCTTTGCTTAGGCCACATAAAAAAATCAATTAATCACTTAATTCTTTTAACCAATATTTTTGCTGAAATTAGTCCTCTTGTGATTACAAGTTGTAATGTATGTGATGTACAATTTAGCCAATTGACTTTTTCCATATTTAATATAGCATTTTTTACATTACGACCATTATCTGTAGTAATAATAAACGTCTTATCATCCATAATATTTTCTAATATTTCACTTATGATTGGCTGTACGGGGATATTAGATATATTTTATTATAAGGATGAATTTATACTAGAGATTGGAACCGGTTTTAATAATTCGGGTTTATCACATAAATTTTGTGATATTTTAGAATTTATTAAAATTTAATTAGATTAAATTCTAAAATATCACAAAACTTACATGATAAACCCAAATTATTAAAACCAGTTCCAATCTCTAATTCACACCGTTTATAATTATTATTAATAAAAGAGTATGTAATACTGAGATAACCCCGACAGCTATGAGCCATCCATAAATCTATACATAATAATACTGAAATTGTTTCATTAATTAATTTTTCTTTGAGAATTGGCAAACTATATTCATAGGCAGTATAAATTAATTTTTTAACTGTTTCCTTACAAGGCATAATAAAAGCAGGGTCTAAATCATTGATGAACTTGCGAAATGCCTTGTTGCTTACAACATTAATGGCCTGTGAATCCTTTATAATCCATGTTGTAAGTAACTGTCTTAATTGGATTTGCCAAGCCTCAGAATATTTTTTAATATTTGATACATCTTGCTTATTATTCTATTAATATTAATTAAAATAGATATATTAAGTACTAACTAATTAGTATGTAATATTGTAAAAAATATTAAATATTAACTAATATAGTAATAAATATATTTAATTACAAACTTTAGTTTTTCTATGTTTGGTTTTTCGTGCGCATTTTGGAGATGCATGATTGCATTTCCTGTTGATCTGCTAGTATAGACATATGATGTATTACAATTAGTATTATCATCATTTTTCTCTTGGCAAATAATTACTGGAATCTCTTCTTCATCTATGTCTCTAATTTTAGTTTCCTTGAAGTGCTACCAGATCCAACTAATCTTGGTGCGTTTTTTATCTCCACTTAATGCTTTTTTTTTTTTGTTTGAAGATTTAATTGAATTAGAATTATTGGAATGTTTTTCTGACATTTTGAAAAAAATAATACTAAAAACAAAAAAAAAAATATCCAGAACCGACAAATAGTATACACATATATATATATATTTTGACAATTATGATTTAAAATTTATTATGTCTTTTTTTTTAAACCCCTTCAAGGAACGCTGGACAGCATACTTTTTATTATAATGTTTTATAATTTCTAATCAGACTAAAGAGTCACAAACTACTTAATATGTGCTACTATTAATAGTACTTTATTATATTCATAGTCTTAAAAATATTATATGATATATTATTATTATTTTCCTATTTATTAATCATAAATCAGGCATGTATATATATACAAAAATTAATATTAAAATTAACAGGGATGGTAATTTAAGTCTGGATATTAATATGAGATAGTCTCTACAATTATAGGGCTTCAGGACTTTTTGATTAACTTTGATTATTTATTGGATGAAATCCTTGACTAGGTGCTTTTACTCAGTATAAGTTTGTTGCCTAAATGTTATAACTTACAATTATTTATTATAACTATCTCAATCAAATTTGTTTTATTTTAAATGAAATTATATCAAATTGATCAAACATTGATTTTTAAATTTCTGAAGCCTTCTAACAGTAGATAATAACCCATATTTTAATAAGCAGATACATATGTATGTACATACATACAATATGTATATAGTCTAAATATGCAGAAATTGAATATTAAAATTAACAGAGATAATAATTAAGTCTAGTTTAAATAGGCAGGTATGTACATACATTGAGAAAGTGCTGGCTGTGGGTTTTTAGGCAAAAATCAACTATCTAACTAAACTAAGTACTAAAGATAGTCTAACTTTGATCCAAGACTCTTGAAACCTTGAAGCAGAAGGCAGAAAGAGGCATGAAAAAACTTGGTCCAAGGTTCAAGGTTAATTCGAGTCTTGTTGCAGTAAATTTGAAGACCAAGATAAGTATTGTCTAGATTCTATTTACTCTGATATAATCATAGATTCTAATCAATATTAAAAAAACTCTTCCTCTGATATTCAGTATAATAGGGCTTTGCTCAATCATCAAGATTCTTAATGATTGTCACATAGTCACGTGTTGGCAAAATTGTAATTTCAATTATTTGACATAATAGTTGAATAATAGTAGTTATGATAAAATTGGGTCTGATTACTAAGAGGTCTTTCTCTTTTACTTTTAAGAAGCAAAAATAAAGGTGTTTGATAAGGTACAAAATTGTACCTGCTTAGACGAATGGTTCAATTTTGTACCTGGGCTAGATGGATACAAATTTGAACCAAGGTATGAAATTTTTATATTGGGTAGTGGTCTTTTTTCCTTCCTAACTTCACAATAATTTTAATACTATACTATAATAATAATATAAAAAAAATCAGATAAAGTAATAAAAAAAAATAATAATGATCTTCCGGGCCCTCTACAATATACACAATATATAGTTTAAATATGCAGAGATTGAATATTAAAATTAACAGAGTAATAATTAAGTCTAGTTTAAATAGGCAGGTACTACAGTCTAAATATGCAGAGATTGAACATTAAAATTAACAGAGATAATAATTAAGTCTAGTTTAGATACGTATATATATAATATGTATCTAGGTCTAAATTAGACTAAAATAACATATAATAAACAATAGCCATTATTGCATTAAACTATTAAGTCGTCTTTAACAATGCATATACTGTATATATAAAAAAAAAAAAACTCACTCGCAATTTGTTTTGTAGTTTATCTTATAATTGTCTTGTAGTTTATATAACATAATTAAAAAAATTCCTGTATGTACATTGAAAAGTGGTGCTTACTTGGTTTGTTACTAAAACTGATACTAGAAAACCAAACTACAATCTCAAAATCCTTAAAGCCTTGAATTGGCAGACTGAAAGGGCTAGTCTGAATCTCAAGGTCATTTGATTCTCAATGTGATAATGTTGGAAATCAAGATAAGTATAACCTTGAATAATACTTTTACTGGTTATTGGTATGCCTTAGTTGAAGACTAAGATGACTCTTTTTCTTAAGTCTTGGCTCAATAGGGTTCAGTATTCAGCTTCAATCGTTAAGATCCTTAATAATTATCATATGAGTTACATAGTTGCAAATTGTGATATCGATTTGTATCCGATTTGAGATAACAATAACATTTGATCAAAGTTTGATCAATTGTATTTTATTATAAAAGGGGTTTTGGATTATTAATCGATACTTTCTCTTTCTTATTCTAATTTAAAATCAAAAAATTGAAAATCACAGAGACAAAAAAGATTTATACTGATTTATCTTATAAGGAATATTTTATTATTGAAAGAGGAACTTAGAGTTAACACTTTTACTTGAATTTAGAAGGTTGAAACTCAACTTGAGTTCTACGATTTAACACGACTTTAACAAAGATAACAGAGCAAAGAAAAGAATAATTAAATAGATGAAATTTCAAGATAAGTTCTGTTTTATTTCAGCATGAAAGGAACTTCACTTTTACACTTTTATATCCTTAATTAATTACAGGTATTTATATTGAACTTATACGCGAAATAAACTAAAGGTCATAAATACCTTTAACGGCATTTATGGCCTAAGTGCTATTTATGGACGAAGTATCATTAATAGAGTAAACAGCACTACTATCATAAATGATATAAATGACAGAAGGAGATTAAGTTCATTACGAGACTATAACTAAGATAAGCTCTATGTTTGGAATACTATCTCTGTCAAGTTTTAACACATATATATATAAATAATACTGATAAAAATAACAATAAAATAAGATAATAAAAATATAGAGTATTCGGGAACCCTTCACAACATATATACTTGTCCCGTATTTGTTCTACTGATATCATATAGATTCAGAGTATTTACTCAGGTCTTATAAGGAGAATTTCAATTGCACTGTAATTAGCAGATTCCTTTTACTTCATCAACGATTATTTCATCAACAGCTTATTTAGTCGACATCACATCAAGCAGAACTCTAATATATGATGTCAACTAAATAGGCTATCGGTGAAATAATTGTCAGTAAAGCAAGAAATTTTCACATTTGTTTAGCATATTAAGTAAATACAACTAGTTATATTTTTTTCTATTTGAAAATTATTCTTGCTTCACGATTAATAAATCTGATATTATATGAATATGCCAAGAGAAAATAAGACTTTAATTATATAAGTTTTATATGATTGAAACCTTTTTTTTCTTGGCATTGCTCATGTATGTATTATATTTTAAGTTAATCATAAGTTAACTAAATTTTAAATATCTATTAACTAATCTTTTAATCCTGTTATCTGGGTAGCTTATTGGTTAGCCAGTTATCATAATTTAGGGTACAACCATTATTACCGTGATCATAAAAGATCACCCTAAATAGTATACCTACCAGACACTAGCCATGTATGCAGATCTCAGAATATTCTTGATTGAAATCTAATTATTTCAAACATCTAGATTGTATATTACAAATGCAAAGTGTGTATGTATTTCAAATTTTTACTTTTAATGATACAACTCTCAGCCATATACTGGACCTGGGTCTATTATAGATTTAATTCGGTGGAATGTAACAGACCCGGATCTTTTATATGGCCATTTATGATACTATTAAATCAAATCTTAACCATTAAATGACTAATTGTATCTAATTAATAATATTATTCAGTCAATTATTAATATAACAATGTAATTGAAATTGTGATTTTTCTAAAAAAAATTGTTACTATGCAGCAAATATTGTAAATTTCATAAAATAATAATTAATTAATTAGGTAAATCTTACACATAATCTTAGTGCAAATATTAATTTGCGAAATTTGAAATATATGAGTAGCAAGATTGGATGGTTGGGTATTTTGCACCATATCCATATTATCTAATCAAGTTACAGTAATTCATAAATTTACGTTCCTGGTTTCAAGTGATAGTGTCGCACAGCTACCTTATGAAATACATCTATTAAATTAACTGTTAAATCAGCCATTAGATCAACTATTAGATGTTAACAGTTATATTATATAATATTTTTACATCAACTATTAAATCAACTGTTAGATCTTAACTGTTAGATCTTAACTATTATATTATGTAATACCTTTTATATCAACCATTAGATCAGCTATTAAATCTTAACTGTTAGATCTTAACCGTTATATTATGTAATACTTTTTACATCAATCATTAAATCAACCATTAGATCTTAACTGTTAGATCTTAACTGTTATATTATGTAATATAACTGTTAGATCAGCCATTAGGTCAACTATTAAATTAATATCCACTTCTTGCATTAATACTTACTCTTTGCATTAATTTAGATAATTTATTGGATATCTGGATATCTATCCATTTATCCATTTTATCTATTTATTCATTTAATATCTGGATATCCATAGATAAATAGATAAATAGATAATGGATTGAAGCTCTAGTTGATAATAATGATAATATAATAATTTCTTTTGGTGGTTAATGGTAGAGAATCTACTATATCTATCCCTTAATATGTAGACCAATGCAGGCAAATTTGCCTGCGTTTTTGCACTTTTTTAGCTCTGATTTACTTTTTTA